TTCATTCCGGACAGTAACTACAATGGATGGGTCTTTGACGATAACTTGGAAGTTCCGGACTGGGTATGGCACTATGCCGACCAAGAATCAGAAGTAAAAAAACCCAATGTCTTTCCCCCGGCCGACAGCAGATGGCAGAAAAGAGCCACAGGGAAAATTTCGGGCAACCCATCAAAAATCACCACTGACCCACTGATCGATTCTCGTGTAATCAAGGAAGAAAAAGACAGAGAAGATTTGTTGTGGGATTTGGAAGCAGTAAAAGAACAGGCAATACTGCACTGCAATAAGGACTCGTCGAGCTTTAGAAGTATGTTGTCAAAAATGGAGCAAAAATCAGTTCAAACAAGAACAGGGGGTCAAACAGACAACAAAAGAACAATGGAAATCGGAAAGAGGCAAGGGAGTCAGGAAGGGAGCTCAAAGAGGAGGAAGGCAGTAGATGAGCATGGGAAAGAGGAGATGGTAAGTCTCCCAGCAGACAAAGAAGGAGAGAAGGGGACAACAGACTCCGGCGGTACAGGGTCTGAGAAGACAATTGAGAGCGACAAAAGGGAAGGGGACAGCACAGGATCTGACAGTGAGGGGGATTCTCACAGATCTCTGCAGTGGCTCAAGGACTACATAGAAAAGGTGAAGAGGGAGAGGGAACACGCCTTTGACATTCGGGCAGCCTGTCTCAAGCATGCAGAAAGACATCAGAAGAATGGTAAGAAGGGGACAGGCGAAGTGGGGAAATTAAGCAACCAATTTGATGTTCTCAGAAAAGTGAAGGCGGAAGAATTATCGGAATACACAGCCTTCAGATACGCGGAAAAGAAGAGGGCAAGGGAACAGGGAGTGAAAGACAGAGATAGAACAGCCCCAGAGTCGAAGGATGATTTCCAAGACTTGCGCCCAAAGAAGTGGAGATCAGGGCAAAATCAGAAGAAGACGAACCCGAACATGACCCAGACGGATTCTGAGGAAGAATCAGTGCGCACACAGCTGGAAAAGGAAGCGACAGTAGTAATTGCACAAACAGAGAAGCTGAACAGAATGAATGAGGAATACTCACCAGAATTCACCACGATCACTCACATTGTCAGGGATCAAGCCCCACTGGTAGTAGAGACAGCCAAATCATCAAGACTGACACTGATGAACATCCGCCCCCTGATTGCTGSAAGGTATGTAGAAAAACTGGAGGAATGGCAAATTGCAACAGATGTGTCCTTTCAGATACCATGCTTTGAGGAAGGACAAAATGTGGCTACTGCACTCTGTGAAAAGATATCCGCGGAGTATCCATTGGGGGTCTATGACTCCATGCCAAGCAATCTAGAGCATGAGGATGCGCTTCCCCAACAAGAACATGAGGGATCCACCTCACAGCACTCAGAACATGATAGACACTCGCCTCAGGCATTCTCACCAATGATCGTCAAGCTGTCAAACAAAGCAAATCTTTGCTCAGGGATGAGATGGAGGCCTTGGAGAACGATCAAAGTTGTACCTTATAGTGTCTTGGCGGGTTCGAGCCTGCCGGCTGAACTGGCAGCAGTCTCACTGGCCCAGTTGGTTGCCACAGGAATGCTGGAGGGAGATGGGGACCTAGATGCGAGGGCATATCCAGTGGACTGGGAGAGGTTTTATAGGAGTGAATCCGAGGGGGAGGACAAGGAATGCCACTCTGATGACGAGAAGGAGGAGGAAGACCAGGACGACGCGATGGACTCAGACAATGAGGACAGTGATGAGTTGTTTGAGATCTCCAGACAGGAGAAGGATAAGGCAGATAGTGTAGGTCAGCCAACGACAGACCTCCAAGGGGGGGAGGGACTGTTGGACATGGACTCGGGGGGGGGAGCGCCGTCGTAGAATTTTTCAACATTCGGTGGATAACCCAATCTAACCCAGTGGATCCCAGAAGATGGAAGGTTTCAGGAAGAGGGTCAATGAGAGGGAGCGCCAGAGGGACTGGAAAGACCAAGGAATCATCATTCGATCATGGAATGTGAATGGCTTGGGCAATGTCATAGACAAAGAAGATAAATGGAATGACATAGTCCAGGGCTTAACAGYCAAAAACAGAATACCAGCAGATATAATAATGCTGCAAGAAACCCATTTATCATTCTCAACAGAACACAACAGAATCAAAAGATTTGTGTCTAGAAAGTTGGGAGGGGTCAAAGATGAAATATGGTCGGCAGACAATGTCTCGAGTACCAAAGGTACAGCTATCCTAATCCCCAGATCTTCACGCATATACAAGGAAGGAAGTGTTATGAGTAAGGAAGCGGATCTCAATCAAGGTAGATGGTGCTCAATGCATTTTAAATGGAAAGAAGAAGAATTCCTCCTCCTCAATATATACGCCCCAAATAACGCTGTCAATAGAACATCTTTCCTGACAGAGTTGGGGTCAAAGATCCCACCGCTGACATCGTGTATAGTGGCTGGAGACTAATGGTGGACCCTGCGACAGACCGCATATCCAGATCCTGCGACACTTACAACTCTCAGGAGGCAGTACCGGTCCAGAGACTAATGGTGGACCACGACCTAGTAGACCCATTTAAAATCTTTCACCCAACGGCAAGAGCATTCACACTGATTATGAAAAGCCATGCCCAACACACAGCCTTCTCACGTATAGACTACTTCCTGGTATCAGCCACAATGATGGGAGCGGTGAAAGAGGCGGCAATCTTGCAGTTAGCACCCTATCCAGGCCTGGACCACAAACCCATTGAACTCACGATATGCTTCGAGCAACAAGTGAAGAAAGGGACCAGTTTTCACAAACTAAACAACTCACTCCTACTGAGTCAAACTTTCCAAGAAGGGATACAAGATTTTTGGAAAGAGAGGGGTATGAGCCGCCTACCCACGCGGGACCGGTGGGAATGGTTCGTAGAGAGCTACTCACTACTGGCGGAGACTGCAGCTAGCATGTCAAGAAAGCTAGCCTCCATAAGGAAGCAGAGAAAGCAAAGTTTGGAAAAGGCCTTGAAGATAGCAGAACTCAACCTCAGAGATAACCCGACCTCAGTACTATATATGGGAATATTTGAAAAAGCACGGGAAGAGTTGGCGATTTGGAGGTGGTGGGAACTAAAGGGTATGCAGGTAAGAGCCAGGATGTGCGAATATGATCTTAGCGAATCAATGCTGAAACACTTCTTTGCCCGTATCAAAGCAAACACAAGGGCGGCCACAATAGAGAAATAAAAAACCCTCAGAAACCCGGAGGTGTCGGAGGAAACCAGCGAGGGGATTCTGGGGATTGCTAAAGATTTTTACCAAGATCTATATCAGACAAAAACCCAGACACCCACACCAAGTAACACATTGGACGCGAGACAAAGGATGTTTCAATATCTGGAACAAACAATATCGTCAGAACAATCAGAGGAGTTGGACAAGCCCTTATCGTTGGAAGAATTAAACCAAGCTCTCAAGAGCATGAACAATAACAAAGCACCAGGCATTGACGGATTGACGAGAGAATTCTGGGAAAAATTCTGGCCAAACCTCGGGGGGGACCTCCTGAATTTCTACAAGGATAGCTATGAGAAAGGGGGTTTAGGCAGCATGCTGAGTAGTAGTGTGGTAACACTACTACATAAAAAAGGGGACAAAGAAGATATCAGGAACTATAGATCTATTTCACTGCTAACCCTTCCATACAAAGTCCTGGCCAAGACCCTGGCTGCCAGAATTACGAAAATAACGGATAAATGCTTCCACGTTGATCAGACGGGCTTTATCCCCGGACGTTATATATTGGACAATGTGTTAACTCTAAACGAAGCAGCCAATAAAGTCAGAGGGAGGAGGATAAACACAGCTATACTCTTCTTCGATTTTGAAAAAGCCTATGACCAAGTCAATTGGTCTTTTACGGATGAATGTATGGAACGCATGGGGGTGGGACCAATTTTCAGAAGATGGATTCAGGTACTATACAATAATGCCTCAGGCTGTGTACAGGTCAACGGATTTCTATCTGACAATTACCCAATATCACGATCAGTCAGGCAAGGAGACCCACTAGCCCCATCGATCTTTTTATTTGTGATGGAGGCTATTGCCTCCTTCCTAAGAAAAAACCCCTCTATACATAGGCTCCCAGAGGTCAATGTAGGTACGTCTCACCATTTAAAGTTCCCAACAGTTATTTTGTTTGCAGACGACATAACAGTACTGATTAGAGCTTCAGACTCGTCGTTTAAAGCACTATCCAGGGCAATGGAAGCATTCAGACTGGCATCAAAAATGAAGATCAACTGGAAGAAGACCATAGGCTGGTGGCTGTCAGATGAACAAATTCCCAACCTACAAGGACCGGAGGCTGCTATGTCCTGGGACACGCCGGAAACACCTACCCGGTACTTGGGCATCCTCATGTCACGGGAGGGTCTGGTACCCCAGATGGCCCAGAACATGCTAGCCAAACAATTAAATAAATTGGGAAGATGGGGGAACACATTCACTTCACTGATCGGACGGGCACTGGTTTTGAACACATCTGTCTTCTCGATGATGTGGTACATTGCGTCGGTCTGGACAATTCCGGACGAATCACTAAAGGAACTTAACCGTGTGGCCAGGACGTATCTATGGACGGGCAACCCCAACAAGGAAGGATGTATCCCCAAGATAGCCTGGCAGTATATCACAAGAAAACCAATACAGGGGGGTCTAGGAATCATTGACCCGAAGTGCGAAACGAGAGTTTTCAAGTCAAATGGATAGTTCGATTGTTGACTAAACCAGAAACGGCATGGAACAAACTGGCTCTGGATAGCATAAGGACCTTGGCTCCAGTGACATCGCCAAATGACATGACAGGGCTTTTCTGGGTAATGAACAAGGAATGGTCCTTGAAAAGGGCGAGAAGAAGAACCAGGTGGGAAGTAGAAAGGGGTATAGACAACAGTCAAACACCGTACTGGGCTTCTCTAATCCAGATTTGGAGGGAAATAATGCCAAAGAAAATCAACAGACCAAAGTCTAAGGACGAGATACTGAGACAGCCCCTCTTTGGCAATGAATGGCTGAAAGACGAAAACGACGAACCCCTGTTCTTAGACTACAAATGGCAATCATGGGTAAGGAATGGAGTTTGGACAATCGGCCATTTGTGGAACGAAGAAAAAAATGACTGGGTCTCTGAACAACAGTTAAGTGAACTTTTGAAAGGATGCCACAGAAGAGGACCTAACCGGCAACACATTATCAATCTTGTTCCTCAAGAGTGGAAAGATATACTAAAACAAGGTGAGCCATGGATAAGTGGTGAATGGGGGATCAAAGTGCAGGAAACCCCCCCCTCCAGGGCTTTCCAATTCTCACACCGACTCCCAGGATCAGCCACTCAAGCGGTGTTCACTTCTTTCCCAATTGACTATTCCATGAAGGGGAGGATAATGATTAAGAACAGCAATGTGGAAACAACAGTCATGGACTACTTCCTCCTCAGAAAAGTAAGGGTCTTAGGTACATGACCGAAGTCCATCTTCAGAATCGATACGGCCGTTCACAACCTGGAGTTTGACCCGAGGGAATGGGCATGGAAACCAGAAAGGGGGGCGAACACAAAGAGACTTACCCTTATTCAGGATTACACGGTCAAATTTGGATACGAACTACTGCTAAAAACAAAAGACCCAGAACCAGTGATCAAGGCCAGGTGGCAGAAGCTGATAGGGCAAGAAGCAGACAAGATCACACAGATTCCATGGAAGATTTAYAAAACAATCAGACCAATTAAAATCAGGAGTCTCCAATGGATGATTATATATGCGGCACTACCAGTTAACCARTGGCTTCACGTGAGGYGGAAGGGCTCAGACCCCGATAGTTCCGAACAGTGCAAAGTATGTACGGAAGGGGCTGTAGAGGATATAGTTCATTGTTTAGTACACTGTAGGGAGGCAACAGAATTTTGGGCAAGAGCATCGTCCCTATGGAACTCCSTTTTCCCGACCCCCTTCCCCGAACTTCCCATCCAACTTCTTCTTCTGACTAACATCCCTGCACAACTCCGGAAAGCGGAAAAGATTTGGTATGGACTCATCAGGAAGGTGACACTGTGGGTCATATGGAAGGAAAGATGCAGCAGAACGATCGAAGGAGTGGCCAACGCACGAGAAATGTGTTGGCTGGAGACGAAAGCAATGATACAGGCGGAAATCCTATGCCAATGGCGGAAAATCAAACTATCATGGTCAGAAGATGAGGAACAGCGGAAGAAGGCAAGACTGAAGTTCAACAGGTTATGGTTGATAGGAGGAAAAGTTGCTGATATACGAGACGACCGTATATACTGGAAGGACTGGCACAACTCCAACTCTCGGAACAGTCTTGGACAAGGACCATCGGGGCAAGGGCAAGGCATCTCCGGACCAGAATCTTGAAGGGACAATGGCATTGTGCAAGCCTAGGCAGAAGACAAGCAACAGCATAAGAACGGGAGACGGAGGCTATACAAGAACGGGGTAGTGACAAAGCAGGATGACTGAGAGCGATGAGGACTGTATCTACTGGRAGCATGACTCATTGCCAGAAAGAAGCTTCCTCCGGAGGTCAAAGGCGGTG